TATGTGGGCCATAAATACCCCTTACCTGCTTAAGTCACTGCTTTTCCTTGTTTTTGTGGCTGTAGCTGAGCATAATCTCGACTCATATCCTTCTGTTCCCTCCCTTCATAGGTAACAACTTTGGTCAGTACCATCCCCCAAACATCAAAAGCAGAAACAAGTCAGTTCTGCTTGGAGGACCCCCGCATCCCAGCTCCCATTAGGTTTGAAAACAGAAGCTCAGAAGTGGGAATTTTTATTTAAAGCAAGGTAATGAATGATTAGAAAAACTACATTATGGCATATTATTTATGTGTCAGACCCTGGGCCAAGTGCTTTACATAAATTATCTCATTGAATTGTCAAAACTGCACTATGATGTAGGTACTTTTCTATTTATTTATGACAGGTTCCTGGATCATTAGAACTGATTCAGATACTATGGACATCACCATGAATCACACAAGCTACTTTTTAATCCATGAAATTACATTCTGGCAAGAGAGAAAGACAACAGAGAATAAATAAATAAAATAAAAATACAAGGCTATGAACAGATCTCTGAAGATCACTAAAACGTGTGATAAAGATAGAACGTGTTGCTTTAGATCAGGTTACTGTGGAAGGTGTCTCTGATGTGCCATTCAGGGCGAAATCTGAATGACAAGAGACAACCATGTGAAAATCAGGACATTCCAGTCAGAGGTCACAGCTAGGACAAAGGTCTTAAGTTGAGTATAAGCATGGTGGGTTCAAAGAACAGGAAAAAAAGCCAGTGTGGCTAGGGAGTGGAGAATGAGAGGAGACAAGGCTGAAGGTATTAGTAGGAGCTGAGTAAACCAAGATTAGGAATTTTTATTCCATTCCAAGTTCAATGCTAGATCAGTAGAGGATTGTAAGCAAGGTAGTGCTATAATTTGATTTATATTTTACAGAATCAATCTTGCTGCTCTTCAGTGAATAGATATAAGAAGCAAGAATGGAAGTAAGAAAATGAATTAGGAAACTTTGCAGCTGTCCAGAGGATGAAAAGACTCAGTTGGGATATAATGATAGTGAAGATGGAGGGATAGAGATGAAATTGGAGCTGGGATTTTTAGAGCTTGTTCATGGGTTGACTATGAGCTATGAGAGAGGAGAATCAAGAATTGCTCTTAGAAATTTGGCTAAGGAATTATCACTCCATTTTATACATGAAAAGACAGAGAGAGACTATCTATGAGAAAGATGCACACCTTACCAATGGTTATAAAATGAACTTATAATGTATTTATTTATTTTGCCTGAATTTACTAGGGTTTGAAAGAAGAAACCCAGGAGTCAGGACTGTGTAGACCCTCCCTGCCACCCCACTTAGCCCACCCTGTTCTGTGCTTGGGTTCTTGTCATCAGACGCAAGTAACTCAATTTTCTTTTAACCTTTCTCCTCACATCCTCCATTGGTGATTATTGAAAGCGTCTTGGCAAACACTTACTGAATACCTACTAAGTGTCAGGCACTGGGATGGTCACTAGAAAATAAAACGTGAGTAAGAGTCCAGCCAGTGTTGCTCAGTGGTTGAACGTTGACCTATGAACCAGGAGGTCATGGTTCAATTCCAGTCAAGGGCACATGCCCGGGTTGTGGGCTCAATCCCAGTAGGGGGTGTACAGGAGGCAGCCAATCAATTACTCTATATCTATAAAGGGAATAATAGAGCTCATAGGATTATGCCCACTTTACAGCTAAGGGGACAAAGGCACATAAAATTTGAGTGATGAATCTGCTGTGCAATTCTCACAACACACATGGAGTGGGGTGAGGAGAAAGAATGTAACCTTGAATCTGGGAAAGCCTGGGCTTTTCTATTAATTAGCATTCCCTTAGGGCATAAGGTAACTAGGAAAATTAAAAATAAAAAGAACAACTCTGCCAACTAAATACTGAAGTAATTAGATGGAAGTCAATATTAACCAGCTTCTGGATTGCAGGGACCCAAAGGCAAGGATTCAGAAAACTCTGCCACTTAGCAATTTTGTAGATTTGTGGCCTAGAGGCAAGGATATGACATAGGAATTAATTCTTCGTCAGCTGACTAGTTAGTTGCTTAATATTTCTCCAACAGGTTTAGACCCATCCCAGCCAAAACTACATAGATGTTGCAGACAATCACTAGTTAAATGCTCAGTCTGCTGAGGAAGCTCATTGTTTCAGGGAACAGAGCCCCCTGCCCTGCACACACACACAATCAGTAAAGGGTGTTTTTCCTACTTTTGACCTTGGCTACCCAAAGCACCAAGCCAAGAACTGATCACCACTGTAGCTGACTCCACTGTACTCAATGTAGCTGACATTAAATTCATTTCTGCAACTGGATAGAGTAATGGAGCACAAGGGCAGTTCTTCAGGGAGTAGGTGGAGCCCTCCAGTCAGAACAGGCCCATGAATCTTCCTTAGACTCTTCTTCCTGTTCCACGACCGTAAGCAGTCCCTCACCCAGTAATGTTGGCTCTACCTCTGTGCCCCATTCCTTGCCCACACACCAGTGTTCATTTCCATCTTCAACTTCCTGAGCTCCAACAGCTTTACTTGGATCTAGCTTCTAAAAAATATTTGCTATGTCTGATTAACTGACTTATGAATATCAAATGTAGTTATCTATAGATATTTACTAAAATTTTGAAGAAGAAAAGACTACCTTATACCAAATTATTAGCCCTGGAAATATCCATATAAATAGAATCCTAATTGTGGAAATGACAAATTCGAGTTGGTTTATTTACTTACAGAATAATCCATTTGAGATGTGAAGTGGCATATAAAAATAAATTTTAAAAAAGCAGGAAGTAATATAAATAATTGAAAATGTCATGAAAACAGAAAAACAGGCAAAAAGAAAACAGTAAGACTAAGTGAAATGAATACATAGCGTTCTCTATTTCTGTTAGAAACTGGTCAAAACTTTGAATCATTTTTTTAAGCTCCAGCAAATCGCTTATACAAAATCAGTAATAAAGTTTGAAGAGTACATGAAACTGAGGAGGATTTATTTCCTAAATCCTAAAAAGGTGATATTGGGTGATATTGTGGTCATCTCTGTAATAGGTACAATAACTGTCTTTATTTCTATTTCTTTCTGTGCTCCTCAATTTAAAACCAAGGGACAAGCTGAAGCACAGTTGCATAAAGGAAAGTCCATGAAATCCAAAACAGTGTAGTTCAAGTAGATAGCCTTCTGATTATCTTTTTCCATGAAAAAAAAATATTTTAAAATCTAGAGGGGAAAAAACGGATAGTCTTTGTCAGAGCACAGCTAGAGCACTGCTCAGCACTCCTGCTCTGAGTTGCTCTGAGTCCATATATTCCTCTAAATTCTTCCCAACTACACCAGGGCAGGTCCTCTCAAACCCTGCCCACTGTACTAACTGTAGGGAACCTAGTCCAAGTTCCTGCCTAGGGCTGGAACTCCTAGGATGCTGGATCTTAGACAGAGAAGCCATGAGAGGCTGTGGGTATATAAGAATGAGTCTTTATTGCAGAGGCCATATAGTCGTCAGACAAAACAACTCCTTCACAGCAAGTCCTGTACAGGCAGGTGGCTAGATACCGGCTGGTTAACATGTACATCTTTCACACAAAGCAGCATTAATCTCTGTACCCACAGCTATTATCTGAGCAGCCGCATGCTGCCCCCTAGACTCACCACCTCACATCATAGTGGCACCTAAGCTCTCTGCCTCAGCAACTTCTCTAGCCTCTTTGGCTCAGCAGCTTCTCCTGTCTCTCATGCCCAGCACACTGGCTGCTCTCTGTAGCCTCATATAGTAACTACCTCCGAGCTTCTCTCCTAGCTCCAGCTCTCCAGCTTCATCTGAGCTCTCTTCTCCTCCCTTTGGCTGGTCAATGACAGGTATTATACTCCTTAGACAAAGAAGGCCGCATGCCAATAGTAACATCATTCATTTTGGCTACAGAAGAGATTGCTGTACACTGCACATAGTCCTTGGATCTGTGTATGGTATCTTAGCCTTGAACATTCTGATTATGAGTCCCAGGCTTAGAGTGGCCTTGACCATCTGGTGCACTCTAAACAGGGTCCCCACAGTCTTCCATATTCCAAATCAGACTTATGATTAAAAATCAGAGTTGAATATTTTGTTTTCTGCTAAAAATCTAGAATGTAGCTACTCTGTATAGCCAACAACCCATCCATATGCTTTGATGATCAATAGGCAGAATGGATTCCTTATTTGTTCTTCTCATTCCACATTAATTCATACCCATAATTATTATTAGAAAACAGAGCATTAAGAGCATTAGATTAATTGCATCTGTGAAAGCTAGAAAGAACCAGAAATATTTAGTGACATGGGGGAGAAAAGTGTGTGTAAAGATAACAAACAAATTACCCTGGCTCAAAATAAGACACAGAGAAGAAAAATATTGTTTGGCATAGTTTTGAAATATAGGCTACCATATGAATAAAGCATCACTAGAAAATAATATTTTTATTTTATGAAAAATAGATATTTCATAATGATTTTCTTTGATGTCATTCAAATAGAACTAGAAAAAAACAAGAACTTGTACAATACATTTTTAACTTTAAAGAAAATTAACTTATTGTTAGTGAGTCCAGATTTGCAATTTATATTGTCTAATGCTGGAAAGAAAAAATACATACATATAAATAAGAAAACTAAATAATTTATTATACAAATGGAGACTCTTTTGAGAGTGAATTAATTCACTACTAATAAGGAAGCTGGAAAATTAGGCACAGACCCTGGTTAACCTTCACAATTGGAATGCATGGTAAATGTTTCTCAAAGGCACAAGCCCAAAGTAGCACAATTACTCTTCCTAAAAATCAACTCCTCTCTTCAAGCTATTTAATCAGAAGATTGCCTACCCTCTTATCTTTAACTAAAAATAGTTCAGCATTAAAATTTAAAAATCATGTTCTCAACTGTCACTGATGCTCATTGAATGTGGACATTCCTTTCTCCTTAGATAGAAATACCCATTTACTCCCCAGTGTTTATCTTACCTCAGCTATATTTAGTGCATTATGGATCCGCTCATCTTTTTCATGATTCTTTGTTTTCTGTAATGTTTGCCATATAACGTTTCTAAGTCCATCCTGTTCCTCATCTCCTCGAAGTTCCCATGACATTTTCACCAGGTTGTACACTAAGTCGTAGTATCCAATCCATATGACTTCATCACCTGTTTAAAAAGAAATATTCTGCCCTAGCCAGTTTGGCTCAGTGGATAGAGCATTGGCCTGCAGACTAAAGGGTCCCGGGTTCAATTCTGATCGGGGGCGCGTACCTCAGTTGCAGGCTTCTCTCTGGCCCAGGCCCTGGTAGGGGCTCATGCAGGAGGCAACCAATCGATGTGTTTCTCTCACATCAATATTTCTCTCTGTCTTTCCTCTCTCTTCTATTCTATCTAAAAATCAATGGAAAAATATCTTTGGGTGAAGATTAAAAAAAAGAAATATTCTTTGAGAAGATAATCATTTTATTCATAATACTAATACAGAAAAAGAATGAACTGATTTTATGAGCTTTGCAGTCTTCACTGCTTTTACTTCTTTAATTTTAAAAGATCGCATATTCTTTTAAAATTGCTAACCATATGAAAAAAATGAACTGCACCTAATACCAAACCTCATAAATTTCAGTTAAACGGGCAAATTGGAAACTAGGTACTAAAAAAATCTTTGGAATTCAAATAAAGAGGAATTTGTTCAAGGCAATATGAATACTTAGACCACAATGGTGAATTTTTATAATAAATCAGAAAACAAGAGAAAAATCATTGGCTGTTATAAGAATGACCAAAATCTATGAAACACAGCATTTGAATCAAGAAGAAAACTTTGAAAACAATGTCAGAAGCAAATGAAAATTTCTGATCTAATTATAGGCTGTATGATTTTTTTTTCCTAATAACAGATACATAAGTCTACTGAAATAATGGAAAGAAAGTAATGAATCCAGGAGAGAAAATAAAGTCTAAGACATTTCTAAAACTTATATACCAATTAGCAATTTATATAATTATGCAGTTCTACTTTTAAAATATGCATTCTCTTACAGAAAAAAAAATAAGTTTCACTTTACTCTTTACTTTGATGATATATTGCTATGCAATACTATTCAGGAAAAGAGAATTCTAATTTAGGTAGTAAAGGGATAAATAAATTTGGAGAATGAAATAATAGAGTCTTAAAGGGAATATGAACTTAATTAGCCATGATAATAGTGAGTACAACTGAAGCGGGTAAGAAAACAAGAGGAAGAAAAGGTTCAGAAATGGAGATGAAGGAGTTTTTAAGTCAAATAAATTCTGTATTGTACTTTCACCCCAAATTCTGGTGATAGTCCATGTGATATGGAGCTCATCAATGCCCTTCTTGAAAAGTCACAATCTGAAAAGTCACAATCCTCAACTTTTCCTAATTCAATCTAGGATTTTATAATCCAGGCTAATAATCATCACCACTATTATTATAACTAGAATACTTGGGCATACCTACTAGATGCCCTTATTCTAGTCCTCATTACAATCCTGCTATGTAGACCATATCATACTTAGAATAATAGAAGAGAACATGTGAGCTTCAAGTTGGTTCAAAAGTTTCTAGCATCATGCAGCTGATGCCTGATGGAGCCAGGTGAAGGCTAGTCTAACTGTGTCCCATTGAAGCACAGCCTCTCCAGTTCAAATAAGTAATTTTCTTTCCAATCCCCACCTTCTACTCCGCTCATAGGAAAGAAAGAGACTAGAAGGTAGAAGGAAGAAGGGTAAGAGAAAGTACTAGTATGTACACATTTTGGAAATGAAAGAAAACATATGTCCAGCCTCCAAACTTAAGACACTTTCTACCCTTTCTGTTGTCTCTTATACTATAGGAGAGAAAGTATAAGCTGCAAATATGAGGCTATAATTAAGTGGCCAAATCTCTTTTATTTTTTATTTCAATTTATTAGGATGACACTGGTTAATAAAAGTATATAGGTTTCAAGTATAAAATGCTATATAATTCATCAACTGTATACTGTATATGTGTGAAATTAAACTAAAAAAGCAGACTTATAGATACAGTAAACAGGCTGACAGTTGTCAGAGGGGAGGGAGATTGTAGGGCTGGGTGAAAAAGGTGAAGGGATTAAGCAAAACAAAAACAACAACAATAAACTCATAGACAACAACGTGGTGATTATCAGAGGGAAAGGGGTTTCGGGGAGGTCAAAGAGGATAAAGGGAGAATAAATGGTGATGGAAGGAGACTTGACTTTGGGTGGTGGTCAATATTTTAAAAATATAATTGTCACTCATAAAAAACTTTATTAATTAAAACTAGTACACTGCTATATTTCAAGTTATTTAGGGAGAATGATATCAGCAAATAGGTGGGATAGAAAGTTCCCCCATCCTCACCCTCTCACAGAAATATAATTTGGCAGTCACCCATGAACAAATATGCCTTTTGGGGAAACCTTGGGATCCAGGTAGGAGGTTGGGAAACCCCAATGAAGCCAAGACTGAGAAGGGCCACTTTGATAAGGCATGTCTGGACCTAGGTATCAGGCCTGACGCCAGTGATGTAGTCCTGCTGTGGACCTGGAAGTATCCCTGACTCCTGTGAACTCAGCTCCAGCCCTGCTTATCCAGTCCTGCCACTAACCCTATCCACCAAAGGACCCAGGAGCACCCATGCCTGTTGGTGCTCTTGGTATGTGGACACTGACTATGGACACTGAAGCAGCCCTGTGACCTGGCCCAGCCTCACTCTTCCATAATCCAGAGGCAGTTCTGTCCACCCAAGAACCCACCCATAAAGAACCTACCCTTGGACCTGGCAGGAGGCGGCTCAGGAACCTAGTGGGACCCAAATCCATTTGCACTCCTGGTAACAGGCATGAGATCTGCAGACCCAGAAGCGGTCCCATAACCAGGCACCAGCCCAGTTCAACCACAGTCCTGGAGATGGTCCCATGTTCTCAGGGACCCAGCAAAGACCAAGCTCATCATGTGCACTGACTCCCAGCAAAGAGGTTGATATAAGCAGCGAGAAGGTAGAGGAATATAAAGAGGATCTCAAATTGAGCTGAAGTGGAGAGTTCATATTAGAAATGGGTAAGGTAAAACAACTAAAAATAAATGGAATCAGATTAAATGGTAGATGTTTGAGCAAAAGAGTAATGTTATATTTGTTCAAAGAAATGTTATATCTATTCAAGCAATAAGCAGAGTTTTATGGGCTATTCCAGCTCTTTACTGTGATGAGCAGCAGAAGATTGGAGATTAAAGGAGAAACTTAAGACATTGTGGAGAAGATCTGAGAAGACTTCTTAGGAAAAGGAAGGAATGAAGTGTAAAGAAAAATACATTTTTAAGCTCAGAAAATTGAAATAATAATGAAATCACTTGCATAAATGGAATTATGTAGAAGAGCCTAACTAGGAAGAAAGAAGACAAATATTATTTGGAAACTGTGACATGGTAGAGTGTGGGGGAAATCTAATTTTTAGTGTCATGTAGCTTGTCATAAAATTATAATTTTCAAGTAAAATAGCAAAAAGAAAGTATGGATTTTTAACTAGAAAAAATAAGGCTTGAACTAAATATGAATAAAGAAATAATGAGTATTTAATAACTGAGGAATTATGAAACTGTGAAATAAAAAAGTAGTTTTTGAACAATACGATAAGTAAAAATGCTGTGGATTTTAACCAATGTATAAATTTATTTATGGGCTCCAAAATTCTTTACATTAAAACGAATGATTAATAAAAATATATCCAAACCACTTTCCTTAATATACTTTAAATTATTTTTTATGGAGGAACAATATTTTATAAGCCTACAATATTTGAATCATTGAACTGAATATGGTTTGCTTTTAGACTCCACAAGACCAGCGATGAGTCCATAAAATATATTCTGAGAACTGTTCTCAAAACTCAAAAAAAATTTTAAAATGCCATTGATTTTAAAAGTGAGCAGTTCACCTGTTGATTATGAATAATATTTGGTGTAAGAATCTATTACATCCAATTGACTGACAGTTAACAAAGAAAAAAAAACCTTCTAAAAACAGATGGGATGTGTTACAGCTGTCACAAAAGGTAGAGTGCATTCTAACATGCACATCTAGACATTTGCCAGAAGCGTGCCTGCTATGAAACTTCAACCAGGGACCAAGCTGTAGCATAAGGCACTCTTCTGTTCTGCTTTGAGTGACCCTGTGGCAGCTATCAAAGATGTCACTTTAAATATACTGAGAGAAAATGTGTCTCTGCAGCTAAGCAGACAGTAACAAAGCTGAACCAAAATAAAATTCTTAATAAATCTTGAAAATTTATTAAGAAACGGTGATGTTTGAAAACCAATATTATGATTCTTTTTGTTGTAGCTATATTTTGGTGTTTGAACTCCTTGGAAATCTTTAATTTCCAGTCTAGATATTTACATTTCACATATACAGTGATTATAAAATATGAATATTTCTATTTATATAAATGAATATAAATAAATAAATACAGCCTTTATAATTTTGACAAATCTAATTTGACACCACAAATTCAAATGTATTACTGAAAGGTAACTTGAATGTAAGATGTTGTTTAAAACATTGTCTTTATGAAATGCCATTATGTAAAGTGGAAGGAACTAGATCAATGCCAAGAAACCAATGGACAAGAACCAGTCAGCAAGCCAGACATTTAACAAGTATTTAATAAGTCAATACTATGTGGCAACCACTGTCGTATATACCAAAAAAAAAAGTTTCCCAGCCATTGTGGTTCTAGTGATTGAACACATGTGAAAGATTTTCAACTTGCCTGTCCCATTCGATTCCTGGTCAGGGCACATGTCCAGGTTGCTGGCTTGATCCCCAGTAGAGGTGTGCAGGAGGCAGCCAATCGATATCTCTCATCATTGATGTTTTTATCTCTCTCTCCCCCTCCCTTCCTCTCTGAAATCAATAAAAAAATATATTTTTAAAAAAGAAAAAGACAATGTTATTGCTTTCAGGACACAATATCTAGTTAAGAAAGTAAACAGAACAATATCTGTTCATAATGAGTTTTTAAAAAGATAATAGAAGATGGTAATGTGACCAACAATGACTAGGAGAAAACTACTATGGACATAGAGAGAAAGACCACCATGAGAAGATGATATTCAAGCTAAGATCTCATGAAAACTAGTTAACCATCCAAGGAAATGGGGGAAACTGTACCCAGCATAGGGGATAGATGATGCAAGGTCTTTGGGCCTAGATTAGAATATTATGATAGTGTAGAGAAGCAAAAATCTTGCAATCATATTTTAAATTTAGTAATTTATTTAATTACATAATAAAACCACTATGACTAATTGATCATTTACTATATGCCAAATACTATACTATATGCTGGGTTAAATATAAATATAATTCAGACATGATTTTCCAGTCTTAATTATCTTATAATTTAATGGGAAGTGAGAGTCATATACATAACAGGCCATAATAACACCTACTATAACCATATTCATAAAGAAAAGTTTTAGTCAACCTAAAAGGACACTTTTGAATGTATATTGTCCCTATAGTACCATTTTAAAAATAAAAGCTTTTTATTTTTATAGCCCCCATAAACAACAGTAGCAAAACAACCTTTAGTCTTGAGACACCGAACTGGTATATTTTGATAGAGTATGAGATCACTTATGTGAAGAATGAACTAAATTTATGTGATATACTGAAGAAAATTTTCTGGGTGGGAAAAGAACAAGAGAAACAGTCGATGCCTAGAGAAGATAGATGAGAAGTCCTTATGTGAAAAAGAAAAAAACAAACTTATGCACATTTCATAAGTTTGCCCAGATCAACTTTTGTTTTCAAGGAATATAATTTGAATCATAAATCAACTGACTCTATATTTCAGTTATTTTTAAATTATCGATCAAAAATTTCCATTTTATAAAATATTCCTAAATTTATAGAAAGCTCTACTGAATTTAAAATTATTTCCAACCTTAAAATGCTAACATTTTGTGAAAGGAAGACATTTTTAAATATTTTTTATCAAATCCAAAAATAATTTACTTACAATTATCTGACATTTTTGAAGAGAAATAGTCCAAAAGGCCTAAAAAACTTGTTTCCCTCAGATCTAGCTGTTCTTCTGATTTGTCCAATGGTAAAATATATTTTTTTGAACTTTTACAGTCACAGAAACCAATAAAAGCAGTTTTTCTCAAATTAGAAATGGCTGCATACAAACAAATTTCTGTAAGAATTGTTATATAGATGGAGACAATAATCCAAGCCCAGGAAAAATCAACAGAGCCATTTTCTTTCTAAAATAAGGAAATAGCTATTAGATAATCCAAACATATTCTGTTATAACAAGAACAATATACTGTATTTATAAGAAATATCTTCAAATTTTATAGAGTTGTTAAAAGAATATAATCTAATATTTCTAAATGTACTTAAGAGGCAGATTTTACATAGATAGAATGCATAAAATCTAATTCAAAGAATATAAAATACATGCAGCTAACTAGTATATGCAAAACAACTTTTCAACTTCATTAGTAATCAATGGAATATAAATTAATCCAATGAGATACTATTGTCCATATCATATTTTAAAAGAATATTTTTATGTAAAGCTCAATTCTAAATTTTAGTCCTGAATAGACAAGATTCTCTGGACTGTGTGCTTATCAAATCTTAAGATAATTTAAGATACCTTAATCTGACCTTGCTCAGAAAGGAAATTAAGTGAGTCATATCAGAAAAAAAAAAAAAACAACCATGGCACTTTTACACATTTTTCATAGGAAAGGAAGAAACATATTTTCTGGAAAGAAACTTGGACATCTACCCTGAGAATGTAAAAGTGTAATTTATTAAGCTATTCTTAAGAAATAGTCATAAATGAAAATATTTTATATATGAGAATCTGTTTAACATCATTTGTAATTAACTGTGATTAATTATAAACAAACTCAATGCTTAACAATAAATGATTAAATGATCACATCCCCACTAAAATGTAAATTTTAATAAAACCTAACAACAATAAAAATGTTTTAGAGTCCTAGCTGGTTTTGCTCAGTGGATAGAGGATCGGCCTGCGGACCAAAGGGTCCCAGGTTTGATTCATGTCAAGTGCACGTACCTTGGTTGCAGGCTCCTCCCTGGTCAGGGCTCACAGGAGGCAACCAATCAATGTGTTCCTCTCACATTGATGTTTCTCTCTGTCTTTCCCTCTCTCTTCCACTCTCCCTAAAAATCAATGGAAAACATCCTAAGGTGAGGATTAACTACAACAAAAAATGTTTTAAATATTTTTAAAGGGGAAACTAAATCATATATAACCATATGATTTCAAGTTTAATAAAATTTAAAGTCCCTCTCATGTATGCGTGTGTGTATTTCTATAGCTCTATTTCTATCTACATCTATATCTATCAATCCATACTAGGATATATGGTAAATAAGAATTTAGTTCTATATGTAATTAAAATTATTATTTCAAAGTTATGCTCATTATAAGCCATAATATGTTATACAATTTAAACAGTACCAAATTTTTTTTGTTTCTATTTGTCTTTTTTGCACACCAAAATTAATAAATATACTGTTACCTGATTCTGAACAGACATAATTGTTAAAAGAAAATCTCTCATTATGTCCATTAAAGTTTTCAAGCAGGCCATGTTTAATTTGGCAGCCTCCCCAAGGACCAACAAAGCCAGTGCAGAATCCATCCTAAAAATGTTATTAACAAAACACAGACTTTAATGTACAATAAAGTTTTTAATGAAAAAAAAAGTATTTGGCCAGAAGAGAGGAAAAGAGGAATACCTTGGATTGCAAGATACATTACTTTCAATAAAGACTAGTATTGCTTCACAAATATAATATTCATCTACCAATAAATTATAATTACAAAAAAACAAATACTGGTTCATACTGTTTATGATAAAAATCTGCAAGAAAGAGTCACATTTTAGCCAACCTAGAAATGAATAGTACTTAAGAACTTAGGAATTGAAAATACTGTTAAATAGCTGACAATGAATAGAAAAACTAGATACATTATAATAAATCACATAATTTTATAAATATGATCCAAAAATAAATTTAATACATAAATCATAAATACATAAATCATTCTATCAGGTCGACCTAGAACATTTTAAATAATGATTTAACCATAATTTTATCAGAAACTCAGGTTTAGCCTGGCTGGCATGGCTCAGTGGTTGAGCATCGACCTATGAACCAGGAAGTCACAGTTTGATCCCCAGTCAGTGCATATGCTGGGGTTGGGAGTTCGATCCCCAGGAGGCAGCCAATCAATGATTCTCTCTCATCATTGATGTTGCTATTTCACTCTCCCTTTCTTTTCCCTCTGAAGTCAATAAGAAGTATATTTTTTTAAAAAGAAAGAGAAACTCAAATTTAAATTAAGAGTCCAGAAAGGGGAGGACTGATATAAATAAACTAGAGGCCTGGTACACAAAATGTGTGCACTCGGAGGCAGGGGTCCCTCAGCCTGGGCTGCGTCCTCTTGAGGGGAGTATGCCTAAGCCCCTAAGCCATCAATCGCATACCCTTAGCGCTGCTGCAGAAGTGGGCAAGGCTCCCACCACCGCTGCTGTGCTAGCCAGCTTCTGGCTGAGCAGCGCTCCCGCTATGGGAACGCACTGACACTAGGGGACAGCTCCTGCGTTAAGCGTCTACCCCTGGTGGTCAGTGTGCATCATTGCGACTGGTTGTTCCACCATTTTGTTGATTTGCATATTAGGGTTTTATTATATAGGACTAGTGGCCCAGTACACGAAATTCATGCACAGGAGAGAGGGGGTTCCCTCAGTCCAGCCTACACCCTCTCCAATCGGACAAACCTCTCGCAATCTGGCTGGTCATTAAAAAATTGAACCGCTTTCTTACACCTTACACCAACCAGCTGTTGCCCTTAAAACCCCTCCTCAGCCCACACCTTAGGTTCTGACTTCCTAGCTCACCCAGATTAGGTTCTGATTGGTCGGTTTCTATGCCAGTCAGCGTCAAAAGCTCTGCCTGCTAGGCAGCCATTGGCACTTCACCCAGATTTGGTTCTGATTGGTCGGCTTCTATGCCAGTCAGCATCTCCAGGCCTATCTCTGGGCCTGATCAAAGAGGCAGAGCTGATCAGCAGCAGCGGAGGCCCAGAGAGAAACAGAGATGTGGATGCTGGCAAAGCCCAGAGAGAAAGAGAGAGGCAACTGCTGATCAACAGCTGCCATGGTGGCTGCAGATCAGACCCTGCCTCTGTCTCTGCAGGCCTCGTTCTGGGTCTGATCCGCAGCCCCCTCAGCAGTCAGTGCTGGGTTTCCATGGAAACCCAGCACTGACTTCGGGTGTTCGGTGGAACCTTAGGTCGTTGTGGATGTTATGGACCCTGGCTCTTTACATCTATAGATTAGTCTCAGTCTTCATTGAACATGGAGAAGAGGGCAGTCAGCATTTCATTCTTGACTGTGAACATTTAGGAAAACTAGTTTAAAGACTGTATTTATTTTGCCAGTGCTTGATTTTTGATACTCAGAAGAGATGGACTATATGAAAAGCCAGGCTTTAGCATGTCTGCTAAAAGGATTCTTTCTCCTGCTTACAGAATTTCATTTTTGAAGCTCCAGAGAAGAATGTGGAGAATATAGGCGATGACTTCTGTCTCGTCAGAGAAGGCATAGGTAGGCCACTGGTTGTTTTCTTCCATTCAGCTCTACCAGGCACTTCTCTGACTGTGTTGGTAGTAATTAATTACAGCGGCAGGAACTCTTGTTCTTTTGTTAAAATCGTGTCAAGTTGTGAGACCCTAATTTGGGCTGTAACCCCTGTGCCAGGAAAAATAGTTCTTATTAAATAATTTTAAGTAGGAGAATGGTGTAATCACATTTATGTTGCAGCCCTGGCAGCAGAGTCTGACAGATTATGGAGAAGAAAAATTAAGGCAAAGAAATCAATTAATAAGCTACAAGAGTCATGAGACAATAATGGCCCAAACCAAGATTGTGACAGTGGCAGTAGAGAGTAGGGGACAGTTCTGAAATGTAGTGGGTAAGCTGTCTAATTTGGTTAACTTGAGCAGAAGACATGTGTCAGGTACTGAGATGGAAATTCTTTAGGCAGGACTCTATCTGGAAAAAAATTAATTCAGATATGAACCAGCAGGAAATGAAATATTAGGGGATGATGAGTATATCAAAAGTATTTTTATATTACTTATCTTATTAAAATACCCCCAAAGCCCCTTGGGGTGACTATTATTTCTATTTAACTGCTAAACAGACTGTTCAGAGGGGTTATGTGACATTCAAAATTAGGCAGCAAAAAATAGGACTAAAACTCAGGTCTTCTGATCTAAGGTTGAATTTTTTTCACTGTACTATAATGCAGCAAAGCATAATTGATATATTTACCCTAAATAGAGACTAAATGTTTATATTTAGCTCAGAGGATCAAAGGATCAATAAGAAATCCAGGAAATAAATTAGAAAAGTGGACCTACATTGGCATCTCACCTCATAATAATGAAAAACATTATTAATGAAAACTTTGTTTGAATGCTCTTAGACTGTCACATAAACATAGTAATCACTGAGGATCATAAAGACAATTTGGATATCAATTATCTAGCCAGAAGTAAAAGGCTTCTTGCCCATGCAAAGCAGTTGATTCTTTGATCGATGCATGTCGATGCAAACACAAATACTGTACATCTGAAAAACACTCACTATGTCAATATAATTTTAAATTGTCAAGCTTATTTTGGAATACATTCATGGGGTGCATTAAATCAGCTATTTTGCTTTTGGAGATATAATTTTATTTTATACTGCTCTACTGAAATGCCATGCTGCACTTCTCAGCAATCTTCATTGGCTAATAATTCAATTATAAACACAATTCATTATTTTCATGTTGGATTAGAAAGCCCTTTGTACTGGCTTGAGCAATCTCACCAGAGCAAATAGGGCAGTTTTTAAAAGGCCAAACCACAAGGTGGAGCATTGAGAGGATGAAGCGTTATATAAAGTGTAACCATATTAAATGGAAATCTGCTTTACAGCAAGCTGCTTATCTGCAGTTCAGGGCTGCTAAACTTCCAAGGTAAAGGTTGGTGTATGGCAGCTGGGAGGGGCTCATGGATTCTCCTTTTCTCTACTTCTTCACCCTGGTTTATAATTTATTGTCTTCGATGCACTTCCTTTCCTTGTTTCCCGCCCCACCCTCCACCCCC